CACCAATCAGCTGGAAAACAGCACTGATCCTGGCACTTCTGCTGAGCCCAGAAGAAGCACTGATCAGCTGGAATGTTGCAGCATCTCCAGGGTCTTGTGATTTACATTCAGATGCTTGGCAACTGATTCATATTTATGACGGTCACAGTGTCCCAGGGTCATGTGAAGTGACCAAAACCTGCTGCAACCACCCAGCAGAGGGAGGGGGGAGAATAAAAACCAATCACCCCCTACCCCACCCCCACTGCCAATCCTCAACAGAAATGCTCACAATGAAAACCTTGGACAGGAGGAAGAGTGCGGCCGGACGGGCGGGCAGGTGTCTTGCTCGGCTGTGGTTTGGGGGGCACTTTTTTCAGTGCCATTGTAACTTCGAACAGTCACTAAGCGAACTGTTGTAAGTCGAGGACTACCTGTACTTTATCACTTTTTTCCTTTTTTTTTTTTGGGTCATCAAGTATTTGACACCTTGCTAGGCGACTGGTGGTACTTGGATGTTGCCATATCCTAAAAGTGGCACAATGGGTGAAAAGGTTGAAAAGCCCTGCCCTAGAGTCTAGGATTTCCTTTATCTCGAAGTGTTGTTCTCCTTCCAACATGACTGGAGGTGGGGGGGGGAGATTTTTGGCCGTAAGGTTTACTGTTGTCCCTTTTTAGCAAACTGCAGTGAAAAATTGGGTGTATTTGCCTGAGATTTTTGGGTAATTCTAATTCTACTATTACTGGGTTTATGATTCTTTTAATTGGAAAAGGTCCTATATATTTTGGTCCAAGTTTTTTACAGGGTTGTAGGGATTTTAGGTATTTTGTAGACAAATATACCATTTCTCCTACAATGAATGGTGTGGGTTCAACTCTTTTTTATCTGCTTGTGCTTTGTATGCTTGCCTAGCTTCATCTAAGGCTTTTCTAACTATTGGCCAGGTGTTTTGTAATTGTTCTATCCATTCTTTCAGTGATGGGATTGCTGGTTCATTTGGGATTAGTTCTGGCATGGGGTTGAAACTTTGACTGGTGGCTATTTGAAAAGGAGTGTAGCCTGTGCTGGAGTGGACTGCGTTATTGTAGGCAACTTCTGCGAAAGGGAGTAGGTCCGTCCAATTAGTTTGCTGGAAATTAATAAAGCATCTTAAATATTGCTCAAGTACTGAGTTCGAGCATTCTGATTGGCCATTCCCTTGAGGATGATGACTAGATGTCAGTTCCTGGGTGGTTCCTAAGAGGGATAAAAATTCCCTCCAAAATGCTGATGTAAATTGCACTCCCCTATCAGATATGATGCGTTGGGGTGCCCCATGCAATCTGTAAATGTGCTGCATGAAAAGTTTCACCAAGGCTTTTGCGGTGGGGATCTTTTGGCAAGGGATAAAGTGCACCTGTTTGGAAAACAAGTCCATAACCGTCCAGATGACAGTGTTTCTATTGCTTTCTGGTAATTCCACTATAAAATCCATGGCTATTTCCCTCCAGGGGGCTGAGGGATTCACCATGGGTTGTAACAGTCCGGGCGATTTCCCTTGCAACCTCTTGGCAGTTGCACATGTTAGGCAGCTGGCCACGTAAGTTTCTATGTCCTTTTTCATGGATGGCCACCAAAATTGCCCTTTAATTAAGTGTAATGTTTTTACAAATCCAAAATAACCTGCTGATTTTGTGTCATGTGACCCTCTGGGTGGTTGGTATATATAACTTTTCCCCCACCCAAGGCAGTCCATCCTTGATTGTGCACATGTGTTTATTTTTCTGGGACCATTCATCTGTTTCCAAAGTTTTCTGGAATTCGATTACAGTTTGGCTACCCAGCTGAGGTTTTAATTTAGCTTGGGCTCTGGTAGTTATTGGCGTTGCCAGTTGTGGTTCCGCCATAAGTGGTTTAGAATCGTTGGCTCGCGTGCTGTTATATTGGGGCATGCAAGATAGTGCATCTGCCAAGAGGTTCTTTCCCCCCGGCAAGTGCTTGAGCGTAAAGTGGAATTGGTGAAAATGCTGGGACCAGCGGGCTTGCTTGGGGTTGAGCTTCCTGGGTGTTTTCAAGGCTTCCAGGTTTTTGTGGTCTGTCCACACCTGAAAAGGGATTTTATTCCGTTCAAGGAACTGGTGCCAGGTGAGGAATGACCAACGTATCCCGTATGCCTCTTTCTCCCACATGGGCCAGCGCTGTTCCATTTTGGTGAGTTTCTTGAACTTATACATGCATGGTTGCAATACCCCTTCATCGTTTTCTTGTAATAGTACAGCCCCCACTGCCACATCACTTGCATCCGCCTGTATTACGAAGGGCTTATCCATGTCTGGATGCCTCAGTACGGGTTCGGCAGAAAAGAGTCTCTTTAATCTCTCAAATGCCGCTTGGCATTCCATTGTCCATTTTAGTGGCTGGCTAGGTTTCACTGAGGATTCTCCCTTTGTTTTTAGTAAGTTCGTGAGGGGCAGGGCTATCTGGGCAAATGAGGGAATGAACTGGCGGTAAAAGTTTACGAAACCCAGGAAACTTTGCAGCTGCTTCCTTATGCGAGGTGGTGCCCATTCTAATACTGCTCTGACCTTCTTTGGGTCCATTTCAATGCCCTGTGGGGATATTTGATAACCCAGGTAGTCTATTCTTTCCTGGTGGAATTCGCATTTCGATAATTTGTCATATATGTGGGCAGCTTGCAGTTTCTTTAAAACCGCTCTGATTAGGTTGACATGTTCTTCTTTGGATTCGGTGAGGATAAGGATGTCGTCTAAATAAACCAGGACCCCCTTAAATAGGTGCTCCCTTAGTACCTCGTTGATTAATTGCATAAATACTGTGGGGGCCCCTTGTAGTCCAAACGGCAAAACTTTGAATTGATAGCACCCCATTGGGCAATTAAATGCGGTTTTCTATTCATCCCCTTCCTTAATTCTAATGCGGTAATACGCTTCCCTTAGATCTAGTTTAGTGAAAATTCTTCCTTTCGAGAGGTGGGATAACATGTCCTTCATGAGGGGTATGGGGTATAGGTTGCTTTCACTGATTGCGTTCAATAGGTGGTAGTCCACGGACAAGCGTAAAGTGCCGTCCTTCTTCTCTCTAAAGAGGACCGGGGTGGCTACTTTAGGCTTGGCAGGTTAGATGAACCCCCTTTCTAGGTTTTTATTTATGAATCTTTCCATTTCCTCCTTCGGGCTCATGGAGTATAGTTTGGGCTTCGGGAGTTTTGTCCCGGGCTTGAATTCTATGGCACAATCCGTGGGTCGGTGAGGGGGGAGCTCATCTGCCCTCTCCTCACTGAAAACTTCAGCAAGGTCTCGTTATTCCTCTGGTATTTCAGGTAGCCCCTTTTCTTCTCCCATGGATGCTTTTTCCGTTCTTAATTTTGGTAGGACTCCTTGGGGGTTTAAGTGTGTAGGGTCCCCCTTCGGGAAATTGATTTCTGCCATCCTCCAATTTACCCATGGGTTCCAATTCTTTAACTATTCCAGCCCTAGGATCACTGGGCATTCCATGCCTGGGGTCACTACAAACGTTATGTCTTCCTCATGGTTTCCCAGGGATAGGTGGACTG